GGTTGGTGGGCAAACCAGGGAGGTATAACATTTTTTTTTTTTTCCTAAATCATGATGCAATCTGATCACAAAGCCCCACATTTATCAGGTTTCTATTTCTGTGTCAAGTTAGACATCGACTCTCCAAGGGAATCCCATGAGGTACATGGCATGATGCTGATCTGACCAGGAGCTCATCTAAAGCAGGTTCTCGGACTGCCTCACTCCCTGCCCAGCCCTCCGGTAGGAACCACCCCCCCACCCTCCACCTGGTCTCCCACACGCCTCCCGCTCCTCATCTAAAAATGTGGCAAAGACCCTAAAAGCACGTCTCATCTCTAGGATGATCTGTTCGCACGCTACCTAGCACACTCTGCAGCAGCACGATGGGAGTGAAAAAGCACAGACAAATTCAGGTTCAAATCTGCCATGGGCCAGCGGGGCCTGACTTCGAACTGCAATTCTGCCACTGACGGACCAATAGAGTAAGTTATTTCAATACCCCAAGCTTCAGATGCCTCCTCCGGACAAAGAGCAAACCGCCCATCTGAAAGGATACGGATACAGGAGTGTCCACCACTTAGGACCATTTGCTGAGCTCAATGTTAGTTCCCCTCTCCACCCACTCCCAGAAGGGCAGGCAGTACAGAGCAGGGAAAGGCCTGTCGGGGAGGCATCTGGGGCGGAGGGTGGCAGAAGCCATCATAAGGGCATCCTCTTCTATTTTCTAAACCATTCTCAAAGCATTTTGGGTTTATGGCCCTATGATTTGGGGTGGGCGACAGGGAATGCTTTCTTTCCGACAGTAGCTCTAGGCCCATGAATTTGCCGACCCTTGCCCAAGATTCAAGACTCTTCTTAAGATCCTGGAGAAACCTACCCATGTAGTGGGTCACAATTTTTGGTTACTGTCTATATGTTTGTTTTCAGTGATCTTTAAAGTGTCAGGTAACATCTCCCAAATGCCTCCCTGATGTAAGTGCACAAAACACGCCGGGATTACCAGAGGTCTCTCTGCTGCTCACAGAAACTAGATGTGACACGCCTCGGACAGGGCTTCATTTCGTCATAGACCACTCACCCTGTAAGCTCTATGCATTTTAACAGCGGAGAGAAACGCATCCGAGTGTGCCTTACCCACTGTTGGGGACAACTCGATTCAAAAGAGCTTCTTAACTTCTTGCACCGAGAAGCGTCCTCTGTGTTCTCATCTAAACACTTCCAGTACTCATCCCGGGCTCCCCAGCAAGCCTGCCTTTCTTTCATAGAAGGGGCTGCCATTCCCAGTGGGCTCCAGCTGTCGGCCGAAACAACATGTGACATTAACGAAACAACGACATTAACGAGGAACTGGTCAATTCACAGACAACGCCGCAGTTCCCTGCCACTTCCTCTCTTTAATGATGCAACTGACATCAATCTGTTCTAAATTAACGATCCCATGAGAACACCTGCTTTTGAAGCTTAGCTCCTACTCTATGGAACAGGATCCACTGCTGGGTGCCAGCCTGGTCTCGGGAAGCCCGAGTTAGAAGTACGGCTCTGGCACGGGGCTGTCACTTAGGGGAGCTCATTTATCCTCTAGGACCTGCTGCCCATCTGTGAAACGGGGTAGCAGTGCCTAGTTTACAAGGTTGCCGATGGAACTAAACTTCTGCACAAACAAGCGCACGGGGGCGAAATCACCCCGCAAGGGCCAGGAGTGTTACCCAGGCCTGCAGAAGAGGAGCCCGAGGAGCGCGGAGTTGGTGACCGCCGCGTCCTCGTTCCACGCTCGCTCGCCCGCCCGGACCCAACCGCGCGCTGAACTCTCACCCGCCCAGAACCAGGTTCCCTTCGGCACCGACGGGGGTGTGGGGGGAGGCAGGGGTCATGGAGCCCAACAAACTGGGGGAAGAAGGCGCGGTGCCGAGTCCTGGCGCCGGAGGGTCGCCTCGCCCGCTGGGGCTCGAGCGGCGTTAGAACACCCCACCCTGAGAAAGCAACTCACGCGGTGAATCCGCCCTCCAGCTTGGAATGACCCTTATGGGATCCCGTTCACGGTTCGAGGAAGGCGGGACTTCCGGCTCCGCTCTCTCGTATTGCAGCTACTTCCTTCCGGATCTCCGGTGTTGTGGGAGGCGGTGCCTGGGGGTGTGGAGGTGGAGGCTGGGTGTGACTCTGTCACCGCTTAGCGAGACCTGAACCTTATTGGTGTGTAAAGTCTCTCCCCCCCACAGCTTTGAAAAGTTGTGAGGAACTGTGCTCCTTTCGTAAATATCAATGGCTATGTATATTTCCTCCAGCGCCGCCTGGAAGGCTTGACTCGCCAGCCCTGCGGGAGAAGGCAGTTTGGGGTGGAAATTTGCCCCTGAGGGATAAGAGCTAGACAAAGCGTTAGAGATGAAAAGCCTGACTCATCGCTTCCTAGAGAGAGATGTGTAGAGAGACAGAGATGGAGATGATAGAGGGAGAGAGAGAGAAAGAAAGATGGGGAGGGGAGGTGGGGGAGAGGAAAGAGGGGAAGAGAGATGGGTAGAGAGGGAAAGGGACACGACCCAGAAGACTTGGCAAAAAAGTGCATCAAGCTGCGAACCCTAGGCTTTGAGCTCCTAGCCCCCTGGTTGAGATTTCATCTTGGTACATTTCTCAACATCACCAGCTTGCCTTGAACCCTTGAGGCTTGCTTCTGTGCAAAGAAAATGTCTTTTTAGTTGGTATTGGGAGACATCTAGTGAAAGAGAATGTGAAAGCAAAGTGCCGTTCGGCTGAGATGTGATAGGTAAAATGTGAGCCTGATTATAGGTTACAGATAGGATCTGTGGACTTGGATATAAAATTTGTGGAAAGGTAGCACAAATTGGTCAGGAGAATGGAGAAAATCAATATCTGTAATATTGATATAGTCTTGTGGCTTTTTACTCCCCAAACGCCAAGGTATCTTAAAACAGAATGAAAAGAGCTGCTCCAGATATTTCAAAAGTATGCTTTTTCTAATAGATAAACAAGTTAATATCTCTGAGCAGAATCTTTAAAAGCACGTTTATGGATAAAGATCAGTCAGTCATCTGCTGTCTGGTTCTCTTAACATATTCACCTGCATCATCTAATCCTGATCTGAAGTGGTTATAAAACTCATAAACAATGTACAGTTCTGCATTCGATGCAGGTGTTTGATATTTTCCAAATTAAATATATGCAGATTTTCAGGGCAGCTATGTGAAGCTAAGTACTACCAAACATATGTTCTACAATATGGGAAGTATTTCTGTAATAGTTAATGGACTCAGATGATAGTGGAATGCTTTATCTTTACCGCAGCCACTCATTTCTTTTACACTATGTCTATCAAAGATAGTTTATATAAAGATAATATCTTCTGGGGCGCCTGGGTGGCGCAGTCGGTTAAGCGTCCGACTTCAGCCACGTCACGATCTCGCGGTTCGTGAGCTCGAGCCCCGCGTCAGGCTCTGGGCTGATGGCTCGGAGCCTGGAGCCTGTTTCCGATTCTGTGTCTCCCTCTCTCTCTGCCCCTCCCCCGTTCATGCTCTGTCTCTCTCTGTCCCAAAAATAAATTGTTGAAAAAAAAAATTTTTTTTAAATAAAAAAAAAAAGATAATATCTTCTAAGTATGACTGATGAAATATAAAAAGGATGAAAAAAAAAAAAGAACGGGTCTTGGATGACGTGTGAGTTGAAAAAAATACATTTAAATTTTTAAAAAATTTAAGGTTATTTGTACTTAATAATAAATATATAAAAGTGAAACTTGACTGAATTACAAAGAAAAAATATAAAGTCCTATTAGGTTATTTTAATAAGCCTTTCTCAGTGATTTTTAAGACAAGTAAAAGAAAAGTCAATAAGGATATAGAAAATTTGAACAACATGATTAATAAACTTGACTAAATGAATATACACTGAACACAACCAAAATCAGAATGTACATTTTTTCCAAAGTAAACATGGCATGATTCCCAAATCAACCACATACTTAGCTGTAAAGCAACTCTCATCAAATTTTAAAGATTGAAATCATTTGGTACGTGTTTCTTGACCATGACACAATTAGGCTAGAAATCAATAAAGAGCTATAACAAGTCCAGGGGCACCTGGGTGGCTCAGTCGGTTAAGCATCCGACTTCGGCTCAGGTCATGATCTCACGGTTTGTGAGTTCCAGCCCTGCATCGGACTCTATGCTGACAGCTCAGAGGTTGGAGCCTTCTTCAGATTCTGTGTCTCCCTCTCTCTCTGCCCCTCCCCTACTTGCACTCTGTCTCTCTCTCCCTCAAAAATAAATAAACATGAAAAAAAATTTTTTTTAAAGAACTGTAACAAGTCCATATAAAACCTAGTTAAATAAAGAGTCACAATGGTAATTAGAAAATATTTTGAGCTGAACAATAAAATACAACAGCAATGCCTGTGGCGTGAGGCTAAAACAGAACTTAGAGGAAAATTTGTAGCCTTAAGTATGTTAGGAAAAAGGCTAAAAGGTTTTTAGCGAAACACCCCTTTTCAAGAAGTTAGAAAAAGGAGAGAAAATTTAAATAAAGTAAAAGGACAAAAAATTAAAGGACAAATAATTTTAAGAGCAGGAATAAATGAAATGGGAAACAAAAGTAGTGTGCTAGAGACAGTTGGTACTGACCCAGGAGAGCAAATTGTGCACACCTCTCCCCAGCTCCATGGTCACTAACATCACGTTAGTGGTTTGGAATTGCCCATGATGGTAGTATTCACACAATAAAAGACTAATAAAATTGACAAATATCTGAGAGTATTGAACAATAAAAGAAGGGATGTTAACCGGTATTAGTAATGAAAACTATAGACCTCCAAAAAGTTAGGACATCTTATGAACAATTCAATGCAAATAACATTTAGATAAATGCACAACTTCAAGCAAAACACAGCTGGCTGACTCAAGAGTGGAAAATCTGAATCTGCCTAAACCATAATTTCAATCAGTAGTAAAAAATTTTCACACACAAATTCCAGGTCCACAGCTCCACCAGTAAGTTCCTCTAAACTCTGAAATAATTACATTCTTCCTGTATGAGGCTGCCATAACTTTTGTGCTAATTACAAAATCCCCCATTTCTGAAACACCAAAGTATTTGGAACTCATTAGGTGAAAATGTGACTTAGTGACATGAGGCTCTTTATAGTCCTATATAGGCTCTTTATGTACTTAGGTGATTACATGTTTTGCTGCAGAAATAGTAATGTTTGAATATTGGTTATTGACTATAGGTGCTCTCCCAGTTCCTGCTGAGAGTGTTACATAAATAATATATATTGTGTTTTCCACAGTACCTTTCCAATGTCCAAAAAGTCTGTATTCCAAAACACATCCAGCTCCAAGAATTTCAGATAAAATGCATAGGCCTGTATGGAAGAATGTTTTTATGACTTAGGGGTCAAGAAGTATTTTTAGCCATAAAGGAAAAGATCAATAAATTTGTATTAAAATGAAGAATTTTTGTTTACCAAACAATACCATAAAGCAAGTAGAACAGACAAAACCACGGTGTGGGAGAAGTTTGTAAAACAAAGAATTGGTGCCCAGCATATATAAAGAACACTTAGAAATCAATAAGAAAGGGACAATGTAGTTTTTAAAATAGGCCAAAGCTTACATAAGCACAGAACGCAAGAGGAAATACACATGACCAATAAAATAAAATACCCATATCCTTGTTAGTAACCACGGACTTGAACTTTCAAATCACAATGCAATGCTGTTAGACACCAACCAGACCAAAGAGTGATCAATTAGAGAATCTGACAGTAACAAGTTTACGAATGAAGCAAGAAGGATCCTCATACCCAGATGGTTATATAAATCGATGCCATCACTTTGGACAACAGTGTGGCATCATCTAGTGAAGCTCAAGATACACATTCACTATGGCTCAGCACTTCTACAGACTGACTTCTACACGCACATGTCTGTTCAAGCTAGAGACCATATACAACCTAAACTTATATCAACAATAGAATGGATAAAGCATGGTATAGTCATACTATGAAACATGATGCAGCAATGAGAGGAGCATTTACAGTCCACTTACAATAACAGGATGTATCTCGTATTGAGAAGCAAGTCAACCAAAGAATAGATACCGTGTATCTCCACTTACCTAAGGTTCAAAAACTGGCAAAACTGAGCTATGTTTGGGACACATAGACGAGTAGTAAAACTATTAGCAAAAGGAAGAGGTGAACAGGGGCCTTCTGAAGGGCCGACAAAGTTTTATTTCTGGACTTGGGTGCTTGCTTTCTAATTATTCTTTGAATAAATGGTACAAGCATGTTTTATTCACTCTTCTGTATGAATGATATATGCCACAATTTTTAGTTTTTATTTCTTAATTTTTAAAAATGTTTATTTAGTTTTGAGAGATAGAGACAGAGTGTGAGCAGGCGAGGTGTAGAGAAAGAGGGAGACACAGAATCTGAAGCAGGCTCCAGGTTCTGAGCTGTCAACACAGAGTCTGACGCGGGGCTCGATCCCACAACCGTGAGTTCGTGACCTGAGCCGATATCAAGAGTCAGACACTGAAGTGACTGAGCACCGCCCTCCCCCAGGCGCCCCCAGTCAGGAAAGTATTACTAAAGAGGTTCAATGAACTAAAGTAATGGTCCCCACCCTTACCTCCAAGGAGGTCCGTGGTTCACCAACGGAGAAAGCCCGATTTATCCAACAGAGCACAAAACAGCTAGGAAAGAGACATTTTGAGAGGCTGACAAGACAAGCCAAAAATGACACAGGGTAAGAACTGCAAAAGCCAGACTCGCCTTATAAGATCTGGAAGGCTGTGGACAAGGAAGAGAACGGGGCTGCCAAGAGATGACTTCACATGTGTTGTCCTGCCACGAAGGGAGTGTCGTCTCCCCGCGTGTATGGAGGAGAGAGGGGGCGAAGAGAGGTCCGCGTGAACAGGTGGAAGAGAGCTGTGCTGGCTGTTGCCATCCAGAGGAAACTTCGTGTGGGTGTATCTCTAGTCTGAGCTAAGTCGATCCCCAAAGCACGGCTGGGCAGGGCCAGACAGACCCCGGAGCACGGAAA